GAGATCAAGCCCCACATAGGGCTTCCATCTCAGTGGGGAGCCTGCTTCTCCCTCTTCCTTTGCTGGGCTGCTCGCCCTGTTTGCTTGTTCTCTCTCTCTCTCTCAAATAAGTAATCTTTAAAAAAAAAAGAAAGAAATGTTAAAAAAGCCAAAACACAAAAAAACCACTAAACATAGAATCCAGTGAACGCGTTCCTTGATATTTACCCAAAGGAGTTGAAAGCTTATGTCCACACAAAAACCTGCACACAGATGTTTATAGCAGCTTATCCATAATTGCCAAAACTTGGAAGCAACCAAGATGTTTTCAGTAGGTGAGTGGATAAACAGTGGTACATCCACACAGTAAAATATGATTCAACACTAAAAAGAAATGAGCTGTCAAGCCATAAAAAGACGCAGAGGAAACTTAAATGCATGTTACTAAGTGAAAGAAGCCAGTCTGAAAAGGCTACATAATGTATACTTCCAACTATAGGACATATAAAAAAAAGATTTTATTTATTTATTTGAGAGAGAGCATACAAGCAGAGAGAAGGGGTAGAGCGGGAGCAGGGAGCCCGATGCAGGGCTCGATCTCAGGACCCCAGGATCATGATCTGAGCCAAAGGCAGATGCTTAACCACTGAGCCACCCAGGTGCCCCATATGACATTTTGGAAAAGGCAAAACTATGAAGACAGTAAAAAGATGGTGGTTGCTAGGGGTTGGGGGAGAAGGAGGGATGAATAGGCCAAACACAGAAGATTTTTTGAGGCAGTGAAAAGAATGGTCCTGTACTAACTGTAAAAGTGCTAAATGAATAAAAGGCAGCCTTTTTAAAGTCTATTTTATTTTATTTTTTTTAGAGTCTATTTTTAAAAAGCTCTGGAGAAAAAAGAAAGCTCTAGAAATGGATGGTGATGACGGTTGCACAACAATGTGAATGTATTGCATGCCACTGAATGTATATGTAAAACTGGATAAAAGAGTAATTTTGATGTTCTGTATATTTTACCATAATACAAAAAACAATTAAAAAATTTTTTTAAAGATCTATTTGTTTATTCATGAGAGACACAGACTGAGAGAGAAAGAGGCAGAGACACAGGCAGAGGGAGAAGCAGGCTTCTCGCAGGGAGCCCAATGTGGGACTCGATCCTGGATCCCGGGATCACGACCTGACCAACTGCTGAGCCACCCAGGCGTCCCACAAAAAACAATTTAAATAATCTCCACGCTCAGTGTGGGGCTTGAACTGACAACTCTGAGATCAAGAGTTGCATGTTCCACTGACTGAGCCAGACAGGCAGCCCACAATATAAAATTTTTAAAGAAAACATCTGGCCACAGTTATTACCCTCCCTGTACCTGTACCCGTCTTCAATGCAGAGCAGCTCCTCCCATCAAGAGGTGTAGCCCTTGAACCTGGCCTGCTCTTGGGACTTGCTCTGACCAATCCAAATACCAAACGTCATACCTGATCCAGGCCTCTCAAGAAGCCTTGAGCGTTGTTGCTGTTTCTGTTTGCTCTTCTGCATCCCAGCCACGTCCCTATGAACAGGCCCAGGCTAGCCTGCTGGGGGATGCTGAGACCCTGTGAGGGAGAGATGATCTGACCAGCTGAGGCCATCTCAAACCAGCCTGCCCTGGCCACCCTGGCAGTGGATAATGTAGACATGGGTGTGAACCAGGGGAGCCAAGCCCAGATTCCCCATCCACAGAATCAAGAGCTAAATTAAGAATTGGATGGGGCTCCTGGGGTGGCTCAGTCGGTTAAGCATCTGACTCTTGATTTCGGCTCAGGTCATGATTTCAGGGTTGTGAGATCGAGCCCCCTGCATCAGGCTCCATGCTCAGCATGGAGTCTGCTTAAGATGCTCTTGCTCTCTCTCTCTGCCCCTCCACCCCACTCATGTGCTCTCTCTTTCTTAAAAAATTAAAAAGTAAAAAATAAAGTTGGTGTCTTAAGGCACTAGGCTTGGTGGTGGATTGTTTTGTAGCAAAAGCTAACTGTCTCAGAGTATGATGATGGACGTATATAAGGAATTTCCTGGTGAGGAGCCTAACCCTCTCAGATGCTGGTTTCTCTTAAGTTGGAGTGTTTGAGGGCTGCAGGTTCCAGGAACACTTTTGGAGATAGCTGTTACCTTCACTGATGCTGTAGAAGCCTAGAACTTCCTGGGTTCCAGCCTTATGTGTTCTTGGATTTCAGAATCCAATATGAAAGAGAGTGGGTGAATTGGAGAGCACCTAGCCAAGAACTTCTGGCGTGATGGGGTGGGCATGAGGACAGGAAGGTGTTGGGGAGCCAAGCTGGCCCTTCCCAGAAGCAGGGCCCAGTGCTCTCCTGTGAGCCTCCAGGATGCTGTGCGGGCAGCCTGGCAACAATGCCCCCACACAGGCTAGTGAGCCCACTCTGCTTCCCCTGGTGGGAGGCTCAGATGGGCCAAGATTAATGCTAAATGTGGAGATTCTTACTCAGAGCTGGGTTTCACACCTTCTGGCATTCAATACTAGCCTAGTTTTTAATAAAAACAACACTATTTTGGTGCCGTAAACCTATTTTTCACCATCTGGCATACCCTTATGCCTCTTCTGTTTCTTCTTCTAGTACAGCCTGACAGGAAAAAACCATCATGGGACTAGGAGCTTCCTATCAACCAGGATATTACTGCACATTCAAATGAACAAGGTACCTCTCTGCAGGTTGCGGCCACTTCACTCTGAGTAGCCGACTTAAAAAAAAAAACTCATTCTATAAATGTCAAGAGAACAAAAGACGTTTGGCTCATGAAATATTAAGATACAAAATAAGTTTGTTTTTGTTTTGTTTTGTTTTGTTTTTGCATAACAGATGATGACAACCTAAAAATACCCAAAAGACTAATAAGGAAGAAAAACCACTCCTTCTGACTGAGGGGAATTGGCAAAATAATGGCCCAAACCTGTCCTCTGCAATTCCTTTGGGATCTACTAAAGGAATGGAAGGCATTGGGGAAACCAGGAGGAAAATCAGCTTTAAAAAAAAAAAAAAAGGATTTTATTTTTAAGGTATCTCTACTCCAATATGGGGCTCGAACTCACAACCCCAAAATCAATAGTCACATGTTTTACTGACTGAGCCAGCCAGGCTCCCCAGGAAAATTAGCTTTGTTAGTAAAATTAGCTTAATTAGTAAAAATAATTTTCATCGGATCTAGCCTTTAACAAATCAATGGGCATTTTATTATTCTATATATTTTCTGGAGAAGTCTGATGTCAGACTTATATTCACCAGTGCCTTTTTAGTGACAAGAAGAACTACTCCAAGGCACACAAATGTCTCTAGGGAAGGGGTCTAGTGCCTCTTTTTACTCAGTGAGCCTGTGGTTTTCTTATTCTCGAGTATGTGAGATGAGTGTGTCTGTGTGTATATATGTGGGCGGGAGGGTGGATCCAGGTTTTGTGGTTGTTTGAAGATTTTATGATTTGGGGGCGCCCTTAAAGAGAAAAAAACAGAATGGATACAGAATTAGGTAGGAGAGGAATGTTATTCAGAGTCAGAAATAAAACACAATACATAGCATTTTTTCAAAAGTAATCTCTACACCCAACATGGGGCTGGAACTCACCACCCTAAGATCAAGAGTCACATGCTCCTCTGACTGAGCCAACCAGGCACCTAACACATGGCATTTTAAAGGCTGAGAAATACAATTTTCCCCTACAGTTTTCCTCTGCAGACTCTTTGAACACCTTTTTGTACAACAATTTTGTGATATCATTTTCTAGCAAGAGGATAGAAAGATAACTTATTGTTTTTCTTTTAAAAGATTTTATTTATTTATTCATGAGAAACAGAGCGAGAGAGAGAGGCAGAGACACAGGCAGAGGGAGAAGCAGGCTCCATGCAGGGAGCCTGACACGGGACTCGATCCCAGGACCCCGAGATCATGCCCTGGGCGGAAGGCACACGCTCAACCACTGAGCCACTCAGGCTTCCCAAATCAACAAGAAATTTAACTATTTTCCCATTGTGTTCATATATTTCACTTCTTTTCATTAAGTCAATTATTAAACAAACCAAGAGCCCACATATCACCTCTATTCAAAATCTATCGCTTTCTCCTTTGGTGTGATCGGAAAAAATCTGTTACAGTTCACTTTTCTATGCCACAATCGCTTCCACTGGTTGCATATGGACATACCTGAAAAATAATTCGTTTTCTAGGAAGCTTGCAATTATATTCACTGCATTATTGATGATATTCTTGGGAGGAAATTTTTCTGTTTTGATCTGCTCACAAATTTAGTCATTTGGTGATTGGAAGAATTTCCCACGGGGTAGCTTCCAGCCCTGCACATTTCAAACTTCGTTTCTTCTCCTCCCACAGCCCAGCTGCTGTGGTGCTCGAAGTCATGACGCCAGGTGGGCAGTGGGATTATTCCCGGAAGTCATTCCTACAGCGGGATGGCCAGTAATAACTGCCTATGTAAACGGTTCCCATTAAAGGCACACTCAGTGTGTTCCCAGCCCAACTTCCCCTTAGCCAGCCCCTCAGGGCCCTCGGCCTCTCCAGGACCCGAGAGGAAGGGTGACAGAGTCAGAGCGGGAAGAGAGCGATCTTAATCAATCACAGCTCAAATAGTTCTCTTTGGCAAATTGCACAAACACACACGACCAGGTGAAGCCATTTCTGGGGCCCCGCCCGGGGTCTTTAGCAAATGAGGCGCCCTGACACCGCAGGTTCATTAGCTCCGGGCGGGTGTGAGTGTGCGACGGTTTTTTGTTCACTTTCTTTAGCCAGCGGCACCGGGATACCAGAAGGGCGACTCGGAAAGGCTCGGAGCCGCTTCTCCCTTTGAGCTGAACAAACCGCTCGCCTCTGCGTCCACGTAGGTCCCGCACCTGCCAGCCCCCGGCCGTCGCCCCGGTCCCGGCCGTGCGGCCCCGCGGCCTCTAGAGGGCACCACACTCTCATCCCGGAGCTGCTCGGTTGCCGAGGGGACGGCGGCGGCGGCGGGCCTCGCCCCCCGGGACTTCCGGTGCCCTGCGCGCCGGCGCTCCCCGCCGCCGCCCCGCTGGCCCAGCCCAGGTACAGCCCGCGAGGCCTGGCGCGGACGTCCCCGGGTCCGGACGACTGTTCGTGGTGCGGCAAGAGCCTCAGGGAGCGGGCCGGCTTCCTCGCTCAAGTTCCGGGAGCCCTTTCAGGTGCCCAGAAGTTTGTCCTTACCCAGGAGCACCCCCCCCCCAGGGCAAAGGGCCGGGCCCCCTGCTGAGGTCTGCGGGAGAGGAGGTGGGGGGGCCTCCCCGGCACTAGGCCTCCTCTGGGGACTTTGCCACCCGTCTGGCTCCTAAAGCGTGCAAGACACTCCTGCTCTTGATTTAGGGTGTCTCGGACCTGGGAGGGGAGGCTTGTGACGGGGTGGGACCCGGAGCCGGAGTGGGCACATCAGGGAAGAAGGCGCCGGACCTCGGAGGGCCTGTGTTGGTGGCACCGCACTGAGCTGGGCCGCAGGACGGGTGGGGTCCGCACCACCCCCATTTGGAAGCCAGGCTATGCCCCCAGGGGGGGCATCCCGCGGGGCAGCCCCCTCAGAGACTGGCTGGCTTCGCTCTGGGAGTCCAGGCGGTACCTCATGTTTTCTTTCTTTTTCTTTTATTGAGAGAGCACAAGTAGAGGGAGAAACAGACTCCCCTGCTGAGCAGAGAGCCCCACGGGGTGGGGGGGGGGAGGGCTCCATCCAAGGACCCTGAGGTCATGACCTGAGCCGAAGGCAGACACTTAACCGCCTGGGCCACCCAGGTGCCCCTCATGTTTTCAACAAGGTATTGTCTTTGACCGCTGGGCCTCAGGGCCCCGAGGGGTCTCCAGGAAAATGTCCAGAGCTCCCCTCCCAGGTCTGAGTAGAGGGTTGGGATGATGAGGTAGAAGCAAAGAACTTAGGTGAGACCATCACTCTGATGAACATGAGGATGGTCAGTCCCCACAGACTAACCCAGGGATAGCTGGGTTCAGGTGTGGGAAGCTGCTGGGCCCAGTCTGTGTGGACGCCGCACATTCACTTGTGGCGTGGGGGTGGGGTGGGGGATAGGTGGCAGGAAGGGTTGGCCAGCAGAGCCGGTGCAGGAGGGTATCTGTGGAACCCGTGAGTCCGTTGTAGCCACAGGCAGGAAAGGCACACATATTTGTGTGTGTGTGTGTGTGTGTGTGTGTGTGTGTGTGTTAAAGTAAGCATAACACAAAAGTCACTGTATTAGTCAACTACAGTTCACTGTTTTTTTTTTATCATTTCTATGACAGTATTTTTATATCTTATTAATTATTGAGTTAATAATATAGACATGTTGCAAAAGCAAAAGGTAGGGCGCCTGGGTGGATCAGTCAGTTAAGTGTCTACCTTTGACTCAGGTCATAGTCCCAGGATCAAGCCCCACATTGGGCTCCCAGCTCAGTGGGGAGCCTGCTTCTCCCTCTGCTTCTGCCTCTTCCCCCTGCTCATGCTTGCTCGCTCTCTTCCTCTCTGTGTCTGAAATAAAATCTTAAAAAAAAAAAGCAAAAGGTATGAAAGGTTTACATTGAAAAGTGTGTTGCTTCTATCAGTTTATGTGCATGCATACATTTTCCCCTCAGAGGTTAACAATTTTACCAGTTTTTAATTTTTTTTTTTAAAATTTTTTTTTTATTATTTATTTATGATAGTCATACAGAGAGAGAGAGAGAGAGAGGCAGAGACACAGGCAGAGGGAGAAGCAGGCTCCATGCACCGGGAGCCCGACGTGGGATTCGATCCTGGGTCTCCAGGATCGCGCCCTGGGCCAAAGGCAGGCGCCAAACCACTGCGCCACCCAGGGATCCCAGTTTTTAATTTTTTTAAAGATTTACTTTTTTAAGATTTTATTTATTCATGAGACACACACACACACACACACACACACAGGCAGAGACACAGACAGAGGGAGAAGCAGGCTCCATGCAGGGAGCCCGATGTGGAACTCGATCCTGGGTCTCCAGGATCACGCCCTGGGCTGAAGGCAGCGCTAAACCACTGAACCACCAGGGCTGCCCCAGATTTATTTATTTTAGAGAGAGAGCGCGCATGCACAAGCATGGTGGGGGGAGAGGGAGAGGGAGAAAGAATCTCAAGCAGACTCCCATCGGCACAGAGCCCAACTTGGGGCTCAATCTCATGACCCTGAGATGATGAGATGATGACCTGAGCCAAAACCAAGAATCAGGGTCACCTGGGTGGCTCAATGTTTGAGCATCTGCCTTTGGCTCAGGCACGATCCTGGAGTTCCCAGATCGAGTCCCATTGGGCTCCCCTCAGGGAGCCTGCTTCTCCCTCTGCCTGTGTCTCTGCCTCTCTCTCTGTATTTCAGTGCTCCATCTCAGGATCCTGAGATCATGACCTGAGCTGAAGGCAGACGCTTCATTGCTGGTAATCGGTCTGTTCATATTTTCTATTTCTTCCTGATTCAGTTTGGGGAGGTTATGTTTCTAGGAATTTATCCATTTCTTCTAGGTTGTGCAATTTACTCACATATAATTTTTCATAATATATTATAAGAATCCTTTGTATTTCTGTGATGTTGGTTGTCATTTCTCCTGGTCATTTCTGATTTTATTGGAGTCTCTCTGCCCCCTATATCTCTTTTTTTTTTTTATGAGTGTGGCTAAAGGTTTATTAACTCTGTTGATCTTTTCAAAGAACCACCTCCTGGAGCACCTGGGGGCTCAGTGGTTGAGCATCTGCCTTGGGCTCAGGGTGTGATCCCTGGGTCCTGGGATAGAGTTCTGCATCGGGCTCCCTAGAGGAAGCCTGCTTCTCCCTCTGCCTATGTCTCTGCCTCTGTGTCTCTCATGAATAAATAAATAAAATCCTTAAAAAAAAAACACTTCCTGGTTTCATTGATCTGTTCTATTGTATTTTTAGTTTCTATTTCATTTATTTCTGCTCTAATGTTTATTATTTCTTTCCTCCTACTTGTTTTGGCATTTATTTGTTCTTTTTTTCCTGACTCCTTTTGTTGTAAGGTTAGGTCTTTTATGTGATATTTTTCTTCTTTTTCTTTCTTTCTTTCTTTCTTTCTTTTTTTTTTTAGATTTTATTTATTCATGAGAGACAGAGAGAGGCAGAGACACAGGCAGAGGGAGAAGCACACTCCATGCAGGGAGCCCAATGTGGGACCCGATCCTGGGAGCCCGGGACCACGCCTTGAGCCGACGGCAGATGCCCAACCGCTGAGCCACCCAGGCGTCCCGAGATTTTTCTTCTTGAGGTAAGTCTGTATTGCTATAATCTTAGAACAGCTTTTGCTGCATCCCAAAGATTTTGGACCATTGTGTTTTCATTTTTATTCATCTTTATGTATTTTTTAATTTCCTCATTGATTTCTTGGTTGACCCATTCATTGTTTAGTAGCATATTATTTTACCTCCACGTATTTGTGTTCTGTCCAGGTTTTTTCTTGTGGTTTATTTCTGGTTTCATAGCATTCTCTTCAGAAAAAAATGCATGATTTTAAAAAAAGATTTTATTTATTTATTTGACAGAGAGAGAGCCAGAGTCCATGCAGGGGGAGCAGGAGTGGCAGGGGAGCAGGAGTGACACTGCTCAGCAGGGAGCCCAATGTGAGGCTCAATCCCAGGATCATGACCTGAGCTGCCCAGCACCCCAAAATACAGGATTTAATTTAAGTCTTTTTAAATTTGTTGAGACTTGTTTTGTGGCTTAATGTGATCTTTTCTGGAGAATATTTCATGTACACTTGAATGTGTTTTCTGCAGTTTTAGGATGGGATGTTCTGAATATATCTGTTAGACCCATCTGGTCCAATGTGTCATTCAAAGCCACTGTTTCCTTGTTGATTTTCTGTTTGGATGATATATTCATTGATGTAAGTGGGGTGTTAAAGTCCCCTACTATTGTATTATTATTGATTTCTTCCTTTGTGTTTGTTAATTGCTACTTTATGTAATTTGGGTGCTTCCATATTGGGTACATAAATATTTACAATTGTTATACCTTCTTGTAGGGTTGTCCCCTTTATGATTATATAGTATTCTTCTTTGTCTCATTACAGTCTTTATTTTATTTTTTTGTTAACTAGGCTCCAGGCTGGGCTCCAGAGTGGGGCTTGAACTCACAACCCTGAGATCAAGACCTGAGCTGAGATCTAGAATCAGACACTTAACCGACTGAGCCACTCAGGTGCCCCTACAGTCTTTATTTTAAAGTCTATTTTGGGGCAGCCCCGGTGGCTCAGTGGTTTAGCGCTGCCTTCAGCCCTAGAGACCTGGGATCGAGTCCCACGTCAGGCTCCCTGCATGGAGCCTGCTTCTCCCTATGCCTGTGTCTCTGCCTCTCTCTGTGTGTGTGTGTGTCTCATGAATAAATAAAATAAAATCTTAAAAAAAAATAAAAAGGTCTATTTTGTCAGATACAAGTATTGCTACCCCAGTTTTCTTTTCACATCCATGTGCATAACAAATGCTTTTCCTTCCTTTCATTTTCAATCTGTGTATGTGTTTAGTCTGAATAACCTTTTTTTTTTTTTTAAAGGAGACTAACATTGGTTTGCCAACTTTGTGTTTTAGCAAGTTAGAGCATTAAAACAGCAACAGCCTACTAGTGTCATCATCATATAAGTGTGGACATTCGTATTTTATTTATTTACTTACTTAAGATCTTATTTGTTTATTCATGAGAGACAGAGAGATTGGGAGACAGAGGGAGAAGCAGACTCCCCACAAGGGGCCCGATGTGGGACTCCATCTGGGATCCCAGGATCAAGACCTGAGCTGAAGGCAGACATTCAACCGCTGAGCCATCCAGGCATCCCAACATTTGAATTTTAAAAGATCCAATGGTCCTATCATCTCATAGGACAGTTTTTTAAATGGAGCAATTTCAGTTTTATGAAAATCTTACTGTGTTGTTTTGATTTCTCTCATCTGAAGAGAAATCTCACCTGCTTCATGTTGACTAGAACAATCCTCAGGGTATGAGGTTTGGGGACTAGCTCAGTGTTTAGAAACTGCCCTCCTTAATACCCCCCTTAGTGCCCCTGGGAGCTTCCCATCTGGTTATTTTGTTTCCTTCTTTAGTTATTCTTCCCAGTTTGCTTTTTAAAGACTTTATTACTTAAAAAATTAAAAATCAAAAAAAATCTTTGGTGGCATCTGGCTTAGTTGGGAGAGCATAGGACTCTTGATCTTGGGGTTGTAAGTTCAAGTTCCACATTGGGTATAGAGGTTACTTAAATAAACTTTAAAATTTTATTGAGTAATAATTGACAAATATAATTGTAAGCGGTTAAAGTGCACAACCTGATGATTTGATATATATGTATATTGTAGAATGACTGCCAAGATCAAAATAATTAACACATCCATCACCTCACATAGTTAAGGCATAGTTGGCTCTTTGTGTGGTGAGCAAGTTTAAGATCCATTTTCAACAACTTTCAAGTCTACAATAATATATTAATTATAGTTACCATGCTATACATTAGATTCTTAGACCCTTTTTTAAAAAAAAATTATTTTTAAATAATTTCCACACCCAATGACGGGCTTGAACTCACCACCCTGAAATCAAGAAACACATGCTCTACCACTGATCCAGCCAGGCACCCGGACCTTATTTTTCTTAGAACTGAAGATCTGTACCCTTTGACCTACATCAGCTCATGTAGGTTTTCTTAATCAGTATTCGTGGGGTGTTTGGCTAATTAGAAATCACACTGTGCAAATCAGAATCTCTTATAGCTTCTAGAAATTTCTTGGTGAGCAACCTTTATCTTCCCCCACAAGAGCCAATTTCGGGGGAAAAATGATGTTTGTGGGTTGCATTTATTTTTCATTCCCAATAAAAATAGGTTTGAGTCCCATGGGGTAAAATGTATTTTTCTTCCAGGGTAGAATTCGTGGGCAACAAAGGAGGTTTATGCTAATGAGAGGCTAGCGCCGCTTTCCAGCTACTAAAATGTTAATATGTGGCACAGTTGAGAACTAGTTACACAGAGGCAGCTTTCTCATTTCTTACCCTAAAATTCGTTGATGGGCTGAGAGTATAGGTAAATAGAAGGGCACAAAACCATTTACTACCAGCAGGAGGCTTGATTTCTCCTCATTTGATCCCCCGACTTGTTTTGAAGCCGGTACAGGAAACCGAGCCGTGAAGACTTCTGCCCTCCGCAGGACCCTGCACACTGCACGTTTCGGTCAGAAGGCGGGGGTTTCTAAGGCGGAGCGTTCACAGCCGCGCTGACCACCGGCTGCCCCCTGGGAGCACCGCCCGAAGAGGTCCTTCAGGAGCCCAGGGTCAACCTGCTGGAATCGCGGTTTATGGAGGCTTTTATTTATTTTGTTTTAAATATTTTATTTATTCACGAGACACACAGAGAAAGACAGAGACCCAGGCAGAGGGACAAGCAGGCTCCGTGCAGGGAGCCCGACGCGGGACTCGATCCCGGGGCTCCAGGACGGCGCTGAACCGCCGAGCCACCGGGGCTGCCCGTTTATGGAGGCTTTTACAAAAATCACAAAAATAAGCGCTTTTATGTTGTCAGGCAGATTTTACATACAGACAGATCATCAAGTTCCCGTGCGGTAGAGACATCTATTTTTACTAAATCATTCCAGTTCGCCCTCCCCACCACAGCCGTGACAAAGAATTTGCTGCGATTGCTGCCGCATTGGCTCCGGAAACCCGGCGGCGTGGACGTGGGTTCGAGCCCGAGGGAGACGGAGCGTCGTTAACTCGTCACCCCGTGTGCGGCTCCCGGGCGGCGGAGGGGCCTGCGGGCCGGGCCAGCGGAGGGTGACGCAGCCAGCACCACGCGGCCGCTGGGAGCTGTTCTTAGCGAGCGGAGGAGGCGCAGCCGCGGCTCGGGAGCCCTGGAGGAGTCACGTGGCCGCGGACACGCCTCGGGAGTCGTCGCCGCCTGCCGCGGCCCCGGGCGGAGCGGCCTTTGCGGGAGGCGGACTAAACGGGCCCTCGGCCAGGCCGCAATTCTCAAGTGGGTTTTCATTGTTTAAAAAAAAAAAAAAAAGGATTTTAAAAAGCTTGAGAGGGGTGGGGAGGGGGATAGAGCGTGTGACTCGTGACCTCAGGGTGGTGAGTTCCAGCCCCACCTTGGGAGCGGAGCCTACTTTATTTATTTTTAAAGATCTTATTTAAAAAAAATAAAGATTTTATTTATTCATGAGAGACACAGGCAGAGACACAGGCAGAGGGAGAAGCAGGCTCCGTGCAGGGAGCCCGACGTGGGACTCGACCCCGGGTGTTCAGGGTCACGCCCTGGGCCGAAGGCGGGTGCTAAACCGCTGAGCCACCCAGGGATCCCCCCGGAGCCTACTTAAAAAAAAAAAAATGGGATCCCTGGGTGGCGCAGCGGTTTGGCGCCTGCCTTTGGCCCAGGGATCCTGGAGACCCGGGATCGAATCCCACGTCGGGCTCCCGGTGCATGGAGCCTGCTTCTCCCTCTGCCTGTGTCTCTGCCTCTCTCTCTCTCTCTCTCTCTCTCTCTCTCTGTGACTATCATAAATGAAATTTAAAAAAATGAATAAATAAAAGTTAACTCCTAAAAAACCAAAACCAAAACAAAACAACTGAGAGCGGGCCTTCTGCCGCCCTCAACACGTAGGGGATCGAAAAGCCCCAGAAAGAAGCTGCACTTCTCTTATTTCCTGCATTTCCAGCTTCAGGGCAGTTTGGTTAGATTTTCTGCTTTGGTAGTAAAGTAAAGCAGAAGGACAAAAGATCACATATTAAAAAAAATAGAGTTTATTCGCCCATATCTATAATTACTTTCAATCCTTGCAAGCCCCGTTTTTCTGCTGAACCCCGTCTGCCACCCCCCACTGTGCACACTGGAAGCCCAGCCCGTTTCTTCGAAAGAGAGAGGAACTGGTTTCTGGACAAAAATATCTTTAACGCCCTCCCCTCCGGGGGTGCAGCAGTGGACCTGGGCGGGGGCTGATTACCAAGTAACCCACGCAACTGTGACACGCCAGCGAGCTCCTCGGAGGCAGAAAAGCATACGCGTTCGTCCCCGCTGCGGCTGGGGACACGGTTCCTGGCCACCCCCCTGCTGAGGGGACCCCCCGGCGCCCCCTGCAGACCTCCTGGCACGTTGGAAACGCCGCATCCCCGTTGAGTTTTCCTGTTGGACCCCTAGTGTAAGACAAAACAAGTTTTTGTTTGTTCCCTCTTCCTGCCAAGCGAACCCCAGCAACCCTTTCAAGCTGTCCCCGAGCTGAGATTTCTCCGGAGGACAAGGACATCTTAGCTTCCTGACAAGTGGTGAGGATGAGAGCCCGTCCCCTCTAGTCCTGCTCCGTAGGGAAGGAACGGCGCGGAGGCGGCTACCGCGTGAGCGCGCACTGAGCGAGTCAACATGGGAAAAGGCCCCCTGGAATTTTCCAGAGCAAACAAAGCACAATTCTAACGGCCATGGGTCATCCCTGAAAGTCCTCTCTTTCCCAAGCACCACCGGGAACCGCTCGGTGAACTAGTTAGGCAGATGTTCCAGAAGATTCTTACAGCTAACTTCAGCAACAAAGCCAAATTTAGACTAAAAACGACCCCAAAGTTGTGACACCCCCATGTTTTCCTTGCTTCAAAAAGGGGAGGCTGGCAGCACCAGAGCACACTGCATTTGTTGCTCTAAATCAAATCACACGGTCCTAAAACATCCCGGATAAAAATAAATTAAGTCGTGTTTCTTTCTGAGTTGGAAATTGCCGCTTGCTGCTCAGCCAACCCTGCTTTTTGCTAAACTCAGGGCTTTGTTTTTGCTTCCTACTGAAGCAGGTTTATAAACACCAGAGGCAAAAATGCACCAACTGCAACAGATGGCTCGAGGTGCTAGTTCATTTGTCTTTATTGGTTCGGGAAATATCGCATAGTTGGGCTGCTGGGATCACACACTTAAAGCTGGAGGAATTGTCTCGGGCGAGATCAGAGCTCCCTGGGGCTCAGGACTTTCCTGAAAGGAAAATTTGACAGAAACCAGCCTCCTCTTGCTGGTGGACTCTAAGCACAGGGGAGAAAAATCAGACGACTAGGAATCTCTTCACAAACGGGGGTGTGTGTGTCGTGTTATACCCACACATCTGTGCAGAACACCATTTGCAACCCAGAGCCCCATCATCACTTCTGGAGAAAAGACCATCCGTTCCTTTGGCCCTGACACCTTTGCACACGGTGTTCCCGAATTTACCAGAACATTTTTTTCTTCCCTAAAATTCTTTAGGCTCCTCCTGGTCCCTCTCTGGAGAGAGACAACTTCCAGTTCTCCAGGTGGAACTGCAGCCTAGGGTTGCTGCACCACCTGTATTGGGCACCTGACAGCGACGTTGGGCACCGTTCCAAGATGTGCCTTAGGGATGCACAGTGCGTCATAACCATGGAGCCTTCCGAAGCAGGGTGACTGGGGACCACCAGCAACGGGACTGGGGACCTGGGGACTCGGCTCTAATACCCAGTTTCTTTTGATGAAAATAATACTTGAAGCAAACATGCCTGTCCTGGCTAAGAGGTGTTTGGGTGTTCTATTTACTTGTCTGTGGTTTTCAAGTTTGGCAACCCACACCCCCACTTTTTTTTTTTAAAGAACAACAGTGCCCTATGGAAATAGCTTTCAAACTCCACTGCATGGTGCATGGTGCATGTGGAACCAAAAAAGAATGCCACAGATTCCTGGACACGTCACATCTATGCTCTGAGTTTCCAGGAGTGGAACTCGGAAAAAAATTTTTTAAAGATTTTATTTATTTATTTATTTATTTATTTATTTATTTATTTGAGGCAGAGGCAGAGGCGGAGGGAGAAGCAGGCTCCCTGAGGGGGGGCTCAATGCGGGACTCGATCCTAGGACCCCGGGATCACACCCTGAGCTGAAGGCAGATGCTCAACCACTGAGCTACCCAGGCGTCCCCAGACATTGGGTTTTTATTTTTTTAAAGATTTTATTTATTTATTCATGAGAGACACACAGAGAGGCAGAGACACAGGCAGAGGCTCCCTGCAAGGAGCCCGATGTGGGACTCAATCCCGGGACTCCAGGATCAGGCCCTGGGTGGAAGGCAGGCGCTCAACTGCTGAGCCACCCAGGGATCATGACATTGGGTTTTTAAAGAAGCTCCACCGATGTTCATTCAGCCCCTCCAACGCCAGCCCTTGGACCAGCTTAGAAGCACCACCACCTCACAAAAGTTACTCTGTGTGGGAGGAACCCTGGGTGGCGCAGCGGTTTGGCGCCTGCCTTTGGCCCAGGGCATGATCCTGGAGACCGGGGATCGAGTCCCATGTCAGGCTCCCGGTGCATGGAGCCTGCTTCTCCCTCTGCCTGTGTCTCTGCCTCTCTCTCCCTCTCTCTCTGTGACTATCATAAATAAATAAATAAAAATTAAAAAAAAAAAGTTACTCTGTGTGTATTTCTAATCCCCCAATACAATACTCCAAACCGGGTTAACTCAGTGAGAAACCAAAAAACTAGCAGTGTACCTGTCCATGTGGGGACTCAAGCCTTCAATCTTACCAGAAATCACTATAATAATAACAAAAGAGGTCTCTATATGTCAAAAGTGGGTCAAATCTCATTTGACAACATGGACTATGATTCTCCTGCAGTTCTAAAGCCAAAGTGTGAAACTTTCATAGTTTATATTACCACGGACTGTGTGAATGGGCTTGCGATATAAATGGATTTCCTCCTCAGATAATGTGGAGCTTTAATTCTGCCAGCGGGGCTGGGGGGGGTTGAGGGGGGGCAATGCAACCTGCCAGCGGTATCTTTCTAACGGTAGCGCTGGTTGTTTTAGGTTGTGCACCACATTGTCTTCTGATTGTCCTCATTTTAGGTTGGCTTTTCTTCTGTCCTGTGCACTCACACTGATCCTTACATGTAGATGTACACTGTCACTCCTTTTTTGTACACTTTTTTTTTTTTTTTAAGATTTCATTATTTAGGGCAGCCCGGGTGGCTCAGCGGTTTAGCGCCGCCTTCGGCCCAGGG